AAAGGACAGAACCAGCCCTTTCTGCATCCTTCTTAGGGTTTCTTTTTGGTCTAGAGGGCAGGAAGAGAAGTCAGTCCTCACAGCTGTCCTTTAAAACAGCTTCTCAGAAGTCTTTAATGTAATAGCAGCACAGTCCGGTGCAGCTCTTTGGAAAACATTACAGTTAAGAATTGGTCAGTACTTCACTACAGGATTTTTTTTTATTTTAAGGAAAAAAAAAAAATAGCTTAAGATAATGTAACCTTATCTTCCAAACAATTTCCTGAAGCCAACCAAAGAGCTCTAGGAAGTAGGAGGGAACACAGTAACAGTCATTGCTCAGGGAATAAGAGGTTACAGTTAGTGTTACATAAACTTGCTAACATACCCTCTCAGACAAGTGACAGACCGTCAAGCTGTAGCACTAGACCACTTGAAACGGTATTCTAGAAAGTTTCAAGCATTAGCCTGTTGTGATTTTTTTTTTAAAAACTTAACTTCTGTTTGAATATTGCTGTTCCTAGAGCAATTTGTATTTAACAGCTTTCTTATTCAAGGCATAAACACTCAGTGTATTGTATCACTACACCAAAATACTTTTTAGTAGCTGGAAATGCTACTCTGGAGGAGGGAGTGTAGGGCTTTAGAACTACTGGAGCCAGATGATAACTCAAATTTAACAGAAACAGTTCAAACCATGAGAACAGCACTGGCTCAAGTGCTACATCTCCGGCCTGGTTAAAGACATGTCAGAGTGATTGCTTACTTACCACTGCATTGGTACAGACCAACCCAAAACTGGGAAGCCCTGGCAAGAAGAACGTTCACACGAGCGAAGGGCTGTTCCCAGTGTCCCACAGGAAGGCTACACCACCTAGTGTCTCCTGGGGGAGGGTGCGGTTCTTCTCGGAACTCCCCCTCCACTATGACAAACAGCGCTACAGGGACTGTCCAATCCAATGGATTCTGCCTTGTTCTAAGGCGACCCTCCAGCACTTACAGGCATGCTACGTACACAGTAGTTGGAAAAAAACCCTCACTGACTGAAACGGCTATGAGAAAGACGTTTCTAATTTTATCATGTTCCAGTCCTCCTTCCTTGAGTTAGCAGATTAAGGTAAGGAATATATCAGGGCTGTGATTCTTTCAACTCGAGATCATCATACGTCCATCACTACGATCATTTGGTCTCTAAGTTTATGATCTTTCCTTATCTCAACTTCACTGATTTTCTCACCTTTATATAATGAACAGCCAGAGCTTAATTTAGCAATGGAAAATTTTATTATAAATAGATTTTTCAAAGTTTAATTCATATTCTTAGTGAAAATTCAAATGATATTAAAGTAAGTTCCTTTACAAAGCCAAGATAGCTAAAAACAGCAAAGAGCCAGAGAACACCTCATTTTGTTGCCTCTTTTATGAGGCCTTATGTTTAGTAATAATTCCCTCAGTTTGGTCCCAACATGGCACTTTCCAGATCAAAGCCAGCATATTAACTGAAGAACCAAGCTATTTTAAAACATTTGATTTATAGGAATCAACAATGAAAATGAAATAATTTAAAAAGGTAACAAGAGCAGCAGATGAGGAACATCCTACTTTGCATGAATCATACATTTATCAGTATAGAAGACCATGATAGACTCAAGAATTAAAATTTTATATATCTTTCTCCCTCTCAAATCACATCTCTATATCAACAGTAAAAGCACAAGTTTAGGTCTATACTTACATAGTTTAAATTCAGCTCTGATTCAATTTTAAAATTTCTGCAGTAAACATTTTTCTGTTAGTTAACATGACAGTGAAGATGGCTTCTAGAATGAGAAAGAGCTACCAACAGTTTAAGATTGATAAAGAAGCCCAGTAATTGCACACTTTGATTAATCAAATATTATTCTTTTGCTTTATGAGCAAACAGTACTTGTTTTCTTGAAGAGGATGAAGCATCTTCATGCTTCCCCCAGCCTTTACCAAGAGGTGTACTAGCAGTGGCTGCTACTGTGGACTTCAGGTTAGCCAACAAACCTCTCCTGGATTTTTGTTGTTTTGGCTCCTCTGTAGAAAAATGCTTTTTCCGTTCATCAAGTTCTTTTTGCAGGGAAGACACTGTTTCTTCAAGCTCAAGAACACGTTTAGCCCAGTTCTGAAGACTATTCATTTCTTGATCCTATGAGGATATGGCTGTGTTAGACTTCGGAGCGTTCACATACCTTTTTCATGTAGTTAATTTTCTGTTTCAAATTATTTTACTACACCAGTGAACACCCCTGTTATTACTATGTCAAATGGCTATTCAGTACCTATTTCTTCTGAATTACTTCTATGTAATTTAGAGAACAGCAGACTACGGGGCCATCGGATCTAGTTATAGACTAAGTCCGACTGAAGAACCTGATGCTACAATGCTTAGCCACACTATGCGAAGAATTGCTGTTGTTCCAGGAATCAAAGGAGGCTTTCCTGGCTTACGCTGCAATTACTGAAAGCAAAACTGGTCAAATCAAAACTCTTACCACAGTCGTAAGTCTGCTAACCAGGACTGAATAAATACTTTGAGTGGGCAGAACAGAGTTTTAAAGATGCTCTCTAATCCTTGTGGTTAACAAAAAGTCACCTTCCTTTGTCGTAGAACCAATTAAGAAACAGAGTTCAAGACGAATAATTTTCAGGCTCAGACTTAGACTAAAAAGCATGCAGAAGGTAAATTAATGTTCAAAGGAAGATGTCACTAAGCAGTCTTCTACCTGCCTTGCTTCATTTGCAGATTACAAATGAGGCAGGCATAGCTGCAAAGTGTCAAGAGTTCAAAATTTTCATTTTTTTTATTTAGGAATGTAGTTGATGTCTGAGGTCAGATGCTGTCAACTCTATGAAGCCCCTGCTTTTGAAGGAAAGATTTCTTATATTTCAGTATTAATTTGTTTACCTGCCCATATCTCTTATCCAGCTTTTTGGATTGTCAGTATAGCTTTAAAGCCATAGATCTTTAGGTCTTGTAGCACTAACACTTGTGCACTAACAACTTGCTTGCCCTCAGCAACACACTTCAAGACTGGAGTTCTGAGTAGTATGTTCTTGACTTGACAATAATCTGTGGTATCTTTAGATTAGCAAGAATTGAAAGCACAAAGTTACCCTATTGACCAAGTCTACCATTTAAATTGAAAAAATGAGTCTTGTCCTACAAGACACAGAGTCAAGGAGTGAAACACAAAGGTTCTGAGCTCATAATTCAGGAAGTTAGGGATAGAAAAAAAGAAAGAAAAAAAAACCAATTTAAGTAAAGATGTTATGCTAACATCAAAATAAACTAAGTCTGAAAGGTGTTTTTACATGTAAAGATGAAGAAACATCCAGTACAAATATACATACAAGCCATACTAAAG